CCAATCGCCTATTAGGTTTTATTATAGAGTTCCAACCTTCTCATAATGTTAATCAGTCATGCAGAAGAGGACAATAATCACCGGTACATATTTTATTCTTTATAATACCTGCAAATCACCTAAACTACTCTTTAATCTGTTTCTCATTGGAAACTAATGATTTACTTAACCTTTTAAATGAAGTATTCAACATCACTTAAGTTGTGTTCTTTTTTATTTTGTTTTTTTCAAGTATTTTTGTCTGAATACATCTTTAAATCATGACAGTAAAGTAAATAGCAGCGATAACAGAAGCACAAATTAACGATATTTTTTTTTATAATGTGATTCCCATCAGAACCAATGCACAACAAAATTATTTTTTTAAAGTGATCCTTTAAATTAAATCAACAAGAAACTGAGAAAAGCAAACGGCGACAAAATAGGCGTATTCGAGTGGTCCTTTTCCGAGGAGTGATTTACTACTCGGAGTGTGCTCGTTAAAAAACAGCGAGGAGTTCAGCCGCTCATGTGAGGAGTTTGTGCTGCTCGTGCGACCAGTCGAATACGACATGTGCAGTTTTAATAGAAAGAGCTGCTCAGAACAGACCAGTCGAATACGCCTATTTTCGTGAATATGTAAAGGCGCGGCATGGCATCCCGTATTCCTGAAAATAGATTGAAATCACTAAATTTGTAAGCATCAGTGCGAGTGAATTTCACTTGATCTAAATGAAGACAACTGGTTAAAATATCATTGTATATGAGTATTCTTAATAAGGAAATTTTTCTATGAAACGAACTCAAAGATAATAAGTGCGCGTACGTTTCTAAAAAAGGCAGGCCCGTAGCCAGGGGGTTTTTAGGGGTTCGGGCGAACCCCCTTTTTCAGCGAACTCCCCCTTTTGCCAGCGAACCCCCTTAGCCAAAATAGTGCAATTTATTACAAAATGGGAGCATTTTTGGCACTGTTTATTTGTCGCTATCGATCGTAGTCCGATCGTAGAAATCAAAACAAAGCTGCAGCCAGCTGAATGACGTAACCAGCAAGACTTCAAAATGAATATTAATGAGAGGTTTGTTGTCTAGGCTATTTGACCAATCGCGTGCTCCGGAGTTTACTTTGGCACGACGTCATCACAAAAGTTTGGGCGCTCGACTTTTTTTTTTTATTTCTCTGGGATCGAGGATATGCGACACGCCAAAAATAGCCTAGGAAGATGAAGCGCCGAGAAAGGATAACCGATTTCTTTGCTTCAAGGCCAGCAACGAAGAAATCACGAAATTTAAGAAGTTAGAAAATTCACCCTTGTTTTCACCACATGCTCATGATACTGCCTGGCGGCGGAACCGGTGTACTTTTTCGGGCTGGGCCTAGGCCCTAGGTCTAGCGTTGCTAGGTAGGGTAGGGTCGTAGCCTATGAGGCCTATTATTTGCGAACGATTTTATTATTTATTTTGTAATCGAGCTAGCATAGGCCAGGACCTACAGGGCCTAGGCTAGCAAGGAAATATACTTGGTAATGTTTTCACGTTTCGTCAGAATTAACTGACATTATTCATAATAATATATTTGTTATTTTTTCTCAATATATCTCATTTAAACCAAGACAACTCTTAAATTATTGTTTATTTTCACTGTTCTAAGTTTTTTTACATAAACTGGTTCTTAAACATGTACATTTGTAGCATTATAATTATGTCTGTTTTTTTCAATATTACTGTGCAAGTATATTTACATAAATGGTTCTGTAACTTGTAAATATAATAACATTTTTCCTTGCCCTAATTATATATATTTCCATTGGAACTTAACATTTAAGTTATTTTGGTAAAAATGTAAAATGTAGGGCTGTCAGTTCCTATTGTTTCTTCATTTCTGCAATAAATAAAATATTATTTGCAATATTTCTCTTTTAAGCAAAGACCTTTTACATACCTCCATTATTTTAATATTGGTATTTAGCGATCTCCTAATGTGCAAGGTCTGTGTTTAGTACAGTCACCTAGTGGGTATTGCTAATTTTATCCCAGTTATATTTTTAGAGATAACATTACATAGTAGCATTAAAAATGTTAAGCATTGCTTTTAAAATAAAAAATTAAAAAAAAAAAGTTTGTTTCACAATAAACATTTACGTTCTAAATCCTGTATTGGAAAAAAGTAGTCTTCTTATCTTATTTTTAAAATTGTGTAAGAAGTATTTAAATATACATGAACATGCATTTAAATGACAAATACATGCTTTTAAAATCGTATAAATGCTCTGGCTTTTACACAGGGGCTTCCCCTGACCCCACCCGGGGCCCTTTGGCGGGCCCCTGGACCCCACGCCCAGAACCCTCCCCCTTGAAGCATGCTGGCTACGGGCCTGAAGGGGCGTTATGTCTAGAGAATGTGATGTCGTGGGATAATCATTATCTTCTTATTCCACGTTGTATAGATTCAAGATCTTTTATATTATCTATCTATGGAACTTAAGAAGGAATTAAATATTCGATAGTTAGTCGGACAAGAGAGTGGTAAAAAAAAGGGATGGTTTCAAGCCTGAAAATAAATCTTCGATTTATTGATGTTTTAAAGGAAATTTTGATTACATGCAGTCCCCAATTTAAATTGTCGGACACAGTAACTCAAAGATATTTGTAATATAGACCTACATATCGCTCAATACTATTATAGTTACAAGTTGGTTTGTTAGTAAAATAGTTAACAGATCTCGTTAACCTCATAAATTGACATTTATTATCATTATTATGTTTCATAGAAATAGACATGCTCCCGAGTTATAGACAAAATTAATATCTGATTGTAACGCAAACAAATATCCCACTTAATACTGTAGAAGTAGTTGTAGTTGAAGAATGGAAGTATTTTCATCCGAGTATTAAAATATGTATATGTTATACTTATACGGAAAATCCTTCTTTTTGTACGTACGCAATGAATAACATACGCCATATTTGTATCACTGGGTACCTGATATTGACTAAACAATAAACCTCTCTCATATGCGTTCATATTAATATAATGTAAATGTATATTTTCTGAAAGGAAATATTTACCAGTGGATCTTCGAGACTATTTGAAGCCACAGACAGTCGTGCTTATTGGAAAAGCATTACAATTTTGGTCCCGAAATCGTGGGAACATAGACCAGAGTACGAAGTTGTCAATACAGAGAGTTTCGATAGGGCTAATATTATAGTCGATATACCCAATCCTAGATGGGAAGACAACCCGTACACAAAACAACTTGGAAAATGTGGAGAAAAGGGAGAGTACATTCATTTAACACCAGATTACTTGCTCAATCAAGAATCAAGAAGTACATCTATATGGGGTCCCATGGGTAAGTAAAACCTATTTTCATAGCTAATCATGAGGTTTTCAGGTATGCTATAACATTGCTACTAACTTCTGATTTGTTTAATTATGCTCTAAAATATACTAATATTGCCGCTGCTGCTACCGCTACTACTACTACCACCGTCCACCACTACCACCACCACTACTCTGATTCATCATCTGAACTTGCTAACTCTTTTTGCAGAACTTTTGTCAACAAGGTTGCAGATATTAGGAAGGAAATTGATGACTCCACTCCACCTGAGCTTATTGATACGTTTCCTACTGCTGCACCTACCTGTTCTTTTACTGATTTCTTGCCTGTATCTGAGGCTGATCTACAATCAATTATTTTAAATTGTCCGTCGAAAACCTGTCCGTTGGATCTTTTTCCAACTTGGTTAACTAAGAATCACTTACCTTGCTTGCTGCCTGTTTTGTGTTCGATTGTTAACCTTTCGCTCTCCACTGGTACTTTCCCTACTGCACTCAAATCTGCTATTATAACACCTATTATTAAAAAGGTCTCTCTTAATAAGCAACTGCTTACAAACTATAGACCGGTTTCAAATTTACCGTTCATTGGCAAATTAATTGAGAAAGTTGTTTCTTCGCAACTGGCTGCATATATCTATAGAAATAACCTTGCCGACCCCTTTCAGTCGGCCTACAGACGTTCCCGTAGTACAGAAACTGCACTAATCTGTGTGCAAAATGACATTCTTAGGGCTATTGATAACAAACATGCAGTTTTTATGCTATTGTTAGACCTGTCTGCCGCTTTCGATACGGTGGACCATGATATTCTTTTGAAGCGCCTTGATGTCAATTTTAGTCTTAATGGCACTGTAAAGAATTGGTTCCATTCTTATATTAGTAATAGATTCTGCAGGGTTCGTGTTAGGGATGCCTTGTCCGATGAAGTTCGTGTTGATTTCGGAGTCCCTCAGGGCTCTGTTATTGGTCCTCAGCTTTTCTCTTTGTACATTCATTGCGTTGGTGACATTATCCGTCGGCATTCAATTTTGTATCATATCTATGCTGACGATGTTCAGCTGTACCT